TGCATTTTGACTTGGGAATGTGCTTCGCGCCACAACGGCGTGCAATTGTTCATCTCTCATCTGGCCAGCTGGCTCCGCACCCGCCGCTTTAGCGAGCCTACTTTCCTACCCTCCGGAGCCACAAATCATTGGAAAAACACAGTGTTTCGCGACTTTCCTACCTTTTCGCGCATCTGCATCTTCTTTCTTCTGACTCTTTCTCTTCTACTCTTCTCTCTTCTAATCTTTCTCTTCTCTCTGCCCCTGCCATACTCTGCCTTTCATCTGTCCATATTGTCGAAAGTTTGACTTCCAAACTTCCTTCGATAAATTATATACATTATTGTGGCAACATACATTTCCGTTCACAGGAACCACGAGGGAGTGAATTGATGTTAGGGGTACAACAGTGAAAACCTGGAGAGAAACCATTATATAAACATGGTGTGGTGTGAATAAGAGACAGGATCAGGAGCCAGGATGCAAAAAGAGAATTAGCACTGACTATCCCAGTCGTAGAGCCAGCAAATCTAGCCAAAACAAGATGGAAGCCACGAACCCGAATGTATTCACGTTCTTGGACTACGAGTGAAAACCTCTGCAATAGGAAAACAAACCTTTTTTTTCATGCATCGTGCGCTCATATCGTCTCAGCGAAGGCACCTAGAAGAGAAAAAAGAGGAGAAAAAAGGAGACAACAAGAAGGAGGAGAGAGGGCAGGAGGAGGGATCTTCCGAGACCCGCTTGCCACGACATGTGGAGAACACTCTTGGAAACACAATTTTGGGAGGACACGCTTGGCAAGACACGCATGGAAAACATCGCTTGAAGACAGTATGGCGACGACACTCTTGGAAACACTCCTTGAAGACACTCTTGGAAAAAACGTTTGTGAGACACTATGGGCAGACACTCCTGCAAGACACTCTTCGAAGACACTCTTGGCAGACACTCGCCCCTCAAAAACACAAAAAGGACACAACAAAAACGCCAGCGCAACAAAATCACCATCCCAACACAACCCAATCGCCAACGCAACAGAGTCAACAGCACAACAAAATCACCTGCTCAAACATTATCGCCAACGCAAACAACATCACCAGCACAACAAAATCACCAGCGCAACAAAATCACCAGCACAACTACATCACCAGCGCAACGAAATCACCAGCCCAAACAAATCACTAGGCCAAACAAAAACACCAGCGCAAACAAAAACACCAGCAAAACAAAATCACCAGCACAACAAAATCACCAGCGCAATGAAATCACCAGCACAACAACATCACCAGCGCAATGAAATCACCAGCACAACGCAAGCACCAGCGCAACAACATCACCACCAGCACAACAACATCACCAGGGCAATGAACCCAATGGATCAGGTTAGGCAATTTCCTGCCGAAAAGGTAACTCCTTATCTTAGACAAAAAATTGACTATTAGTTTATTTCTTCCTTACCTAAATTTGTTAATTTTCCTTACCTTAACTAATTTTTTACCTCACTTTCAACGAAAGTTTGCATGCAAACTTTCAACCCCGCCTTGCAAGTTTGCAGGCAAACTTTCAACCCCCCTCGCAAGTTTGTGTGTAAACTTGCACCACCATTTGCCTGCAATGCTTGCGTGCGTGTCCAAGGGCGCAAATTTGCTTGCAAAGCCTCGCAAGTTTTCGCACAAACTTTCAACCCCGCCTCGCAAGTTTGCGCGCAAACTTTCAACCTCCCCTCGCAAGTTTGCAGGCAAACTTTCAACCTCGTCTCGCAAGTTTGCATGCAAACTTGCAGCCCCGCCTCGCAAGTTTGCACGCAAACTTTCAACCCCACGTGCCGAATTACCGTAAAAATAGGTTACATGTTTACCTTAAAAATTACCTAATTAGGTAGGAAATAAGGAATTAACTATTAGGCAGGAAATTGCCTAACCTGATCTTTTGGGAAATCACAACGAAAGCACCAGCACAACGAAATCACCAGCGCAACAAAATCACCAGCACAGCAACACTACCAGCGCAACGAAATCACCAGCACAACGAAAGCACCAGCGAACATCACCAGCGCAACAAAATCACCAGCACAACAACATCACCAGTACAACGAAATCACCAGCAGAACAACATCACCAGCGCAACGAAATCACCAGCACAACGAAATCACCAGCGAACAGCACCAGCGCAACAAAATCATCAGCACAAACGAAATCATCAGCACAACGAAATCACCAGCACCACAACATCACCAGCACAACATCACCAACAGAACGAGGTCACCACCAGCAGCACAAGAACAGCACCAGCACAACAACATCACCAGCGCAACACAACGAAATCACCAGCACAACGAAAGCACCAGCGCAGCCGCCGAATGCAAAACAGAAGAGAATTGCGCACAATAGGCGCCGAAAAGCAGCTCCAAAAACCGGATCGCCCCATGACACTGCACGCGATTGAGCAGGGCACCCAAGAGATCTACCGCATGCTCAGGAACGGTATCTACGTGGACATCAACAACGAGAACAAGGCGGTCAACGGCGACTTCACGAAGCTCCGGTATTGCCCCGGCCTGTCCCTTACCGCTCAGAAGCTCTACGTGAACTGCATTCCCGTTGCAATTACAGTGTAAAGTGTGGAGTGCATTGTTGCGCGAGCAGAACAAAAGAAATTTCGACACGGTATATAATAGGTTGGAATGTCACAAAGTGCCACGCCTGCCACGCAAAACGACATGACAACCTGCTTGGAAACCTTCGAAAAGGAGAGGTTTTGCAGCTTCCCTTATAGACACGGCGACGGAGTCTCGAGACGAGACACGTGGGCGCAGCAAAACGCGCATTTCGTGCGAGACGTCTTCCAATTTTGACACTTATGGCACGTTGTCAAAAAGGATAAACAGGTTGGAATGTCACAAAGTGCCACGCGTGCCACGCAAAACGACATGACAACCTGCTTGGAAACCTTCGAAAAGGGGATGTTTTGCAGCTTCCCCCATAGACACGGCCACGCCACAGGAAAACCAGAGACTCGAGACGAGACTCGAGACGAGACACGTGGGCGCAGCAAAACGCGCATTTCGTGCGAGACCTCTTCCAATTTTGACACTTATGGCACGTTGTCAAAAAGGATCAACAGGTTGGAATGTCACAAAGTGCCACGCGTGCCACGCAAAACGACATGACAACCTGCTTGGAAACCTTCGAAAAGGGGATGTTTTGTAGCTTCCCCCATAGACACCGCCACGCCACAGGAAAACCAGAGACTCGAGACGAGACACGTGGGCGCAGCAAAAAGGGCATTTCGTGGCAGACACGTTATCAAACTGGTTGGAATGTCACAAAGTGCCACGCGTGCCACGCAAAACGACATGACAACCTGCTTGGAAACCTTCGAAAAGGAGAGGTTTGCAGCTTCCCTTATAGACACGGCGACGCCACAGGAAAACCAGAGACTCGAGACGAGACACGTGGGCGCAGCAAAACGCGCATTTCGTGCGAGACCTCCTCCAATTATGACACTTTCGACACGTTATCAAACGGTTGGAATGTGACAAAGTGCCACGCCTGCCACGCAAAACGAAATGACAACCTGCTTGGAAACCTTCGAAAAGGAGAGGTTTTGCAGCTTCCCCCATAGACACGGCGACGCCACAGAAAAACCAGAGACTCGAGACGACACGTGGGAGCAGCAAAAAGAGCATTTCGTGCGAGATGTCCTCCAATTTTGACACTTTCGACACGTTATCAAACAGGTTGGAATGTCACAAACTGCCACGCCTGCCATGCAAAACGACATGACAACCTGCTTGGAAACCTTCGAAAAGGAGAGGTTTTGCAGCTTCCCCCATAGACACGGAATTAACGACGCGACGGCGATGCGACGACGACGCGACGCCGACCCGACGAGCACTCGAGGCGAACAAGGGTCCAGCCCCCAGACCCCCAGACTATAAATGGTAACCCTTCGCTACGCATTCGGGAAAAAGGCGTTTGGGAGCCGGCATACTCATAAGAGTTTTAACAGTCAACCCTACCCTACTGGTAGTGTCAGTGCCCGGGAGACAGAATGATGCATTCGATTCGAATTACACCGGTAAGCAGTTTACATTAATGTGGCTTCCATGCTGAGCATCACACAAGAAGAGACTTTGCAACCACAGACAAAACCGAATCTAACTCAAAATTGTCTGGAACCCAAAGGTAAAGCTGCAAATCTGAAGCTCTCATCGGATGTACAGCAGCTGCACAGCAATGTGGTTGCCCTTGACCCCACCATGCAACCATCAGAACAGCTGCCATACCATGCCAAGTGAAAAACCATGTGCATCCATGGAATCCACAACCACGCACACAAAGGTACTTGCAAACAACCAGTCAACGCAATACCAAAACATCCTGTTGGTGTTCACTAACATGGGAAATCTGACAAATCCGCGTGCTCCTGTTTTTTTGGCTTTTGCGTTGCGCAAACTGATTGGCCAAACAATGTGTTGTTATGGGGCGAATACAACTGCAACACTTCGGACCTTGCATATTACTCTACATCTAGAACACCTCCGTACAAGAATACAACATGAAAGGGCTGATATATGTGGCTTGCAGATTGTAAAATCCTGCATTCTGACAAGCGTTGGTTGCTGCCCTCCCTCGGGAAATCATGGCATGCATATCGCAAGTGCACCCAACGATTCAACCTGAGAGAAATTGATCGCAGTCGCAGTCTTCAAAACGCTGCTCAGTTATTCCGAGTAATCTCCCCCTTCTAGACTCACATCATCCGCGAGCAAATCATCCGGAGAATCGATGCACTTGTTGCAGAACTTGTAGTAATCAAGTTCTTTCAAATAATTTTCCACCTGCAACTTTGCAGACTCATTCTGCCAAAGGCACTCATAGCGCTTATTTCTGGCTTTGTTGGTGGGACGGAATGCATAGGTGGACTGGAACCGTTTTCTTTGCAGTCTGGTTCCCATGTACTCGATGTACTTCGATGTAAGTTCACTTCTAAAGCACTTCACATTGAAATTCGGGAAGTCTCGAGAACCATTCAGCGAGTTGTTGAATCTATCCATGTAGAGCAAACATCGACTGATCTCATTCACTAGGTCGCCCTCGCAATTAAAGATCACATTTGCGTAGTTACAGTTCGACAGCAAGTGATCAATTGGATCACGACAGGGAAGGTGCAGTTCCACACGAATTTTCCAGGATGCAAACTGTCTCCACCAATACCAGTGGTCCTCTTGTGACACAAAATCGCAATCTTCATAACCAATCTCATCCATGGTCTCAGGTGCAACCACCAGCCTTCTGTGGTACGCATGATTTTCAATCCAAACTGGATTGTGCTTGTAGCGCTCTTGTGCTTGGAAATAATCGTAGGAATAGCCCTTGCTACCGCAAATTCTTTCATAGTTTAATGCCAACTCTCCATTTAAAGACGAACCTCCAGTTTTTGCCATATGGATGTGGCCATAGAGCACCAAATCCTGGCCAAGGCGTTCGAATGTTGCGGCTTCATGCTCTTGAGCACCAGGTGAAGAACTTCTCGAATGAAGCAGTTCTTGATTCCAATAAGCAAGCAAATCATCCGGAGAATCGATGCACTTGTTGCAGAACTTGTAGTAATCAAGTTCTTTCAAATAATTTTCCACCTGCAACTTTGCAGACTCATTCTGCCAAAGGCACTCATAGCGCTTATTTCTGGCTTTGTTGGTGGGACGGAATGCATAGGTGGACTGGAACCGTTTTCTTTGCAGTCTGGTTCCCATGTACTCGATGTACTTCGATGTAAGTTCACTTCTAAAGCACTTCACATTGAAATTCGGGAAGTCTCGAGAACCATTCAGCGAGTTGTTGAATCTATCCATGTAGAGCAAACATCGACTGATCTCATTCACTAGGTCGCCCTCGCAATTAAAGATCACATTTGCGTAGTTACAGTTCGACAGCAAGTGATCAATTGGATCACGACAGGGAAGGTGCAGTTCCACACGAATTTTCCAGGATGCAAACTGTCTCCACCAATACCAGTGGTCCTCTTGTGACACAAAATCGCAATCTTCATAACCAATCTCATCCATGGTCTCAGGTGCAACCACCAGCCTTCTGTGGTACGCATGATTTTCAATCCAAACTGGATTGTGCTTGTAGCGCTCTTGTGCTTGAAAATAATCGTAAGAATAGCCTTTGAGACCGCAAATTCTTTCGTAGTTTAATGCCAACTCTCCATTTAAAGACGAACCTCCAGTTTTTGCCATATGGATGTGGCCATAGAGCACCAAATCCTGGCCAAGGTGTGCGAATGTTGCAGTTTCACGCCCGAAAACTATTTACCATAATAAGAGTGACACTTGGAATACGACCATGGGAGATTGGTACTTTTGCAACCTTTCACATCTTTCACACTATCATCTCAAATCCCATTCTGTCAATTTCACTTGTAGCATGTCCTCCTTCAGTTTCATTGTTTTCAACAACAGGCACCATGAGAAGCCCGCGTCTGACAATGAATTCAATGTAACGTTGCTTCCAAAAGTTGCCATTCATGGATTGTGATGTTTTCATTCCCTCTTCATTTTCACAGTACTGCTGCCACAAGAAACGTATGTGGTGCCTCTCTTGCAGGATGCTGCAGATCGAATGCATTATGTACCTGCAGGTACCACAAAACATAACGTTAAATTTTTTTTTGATGAACAGTTGTACTTCATTCCACACCAAATGCAATCGAATCAGCATTCAAAGATTAAATTGTATACAATTTGACCACAGTTTCATCCGTGTTCCCACTACCAACTTTGAACCGAAGGTTTCATGTTTTTGGAATCGTATTCCAGCAAACCAGTTTGGAACAGCAATCACACACATTTATCTGAACCATAACAGGACGCTCCAATTTTTTCAAAACCATTTTGAATGCAGCCAATCCAATCATTTCAAGAATCATCCGTACAGTCCATCTAATATCCATGAATTTTGTCAGTGGCCCAAGTTGCGGCCTTTTTTTGTAGTAGACCACTTCCAATGGCAGGATCGCCGCAATCGCGGCATGAGCTGGCCTGGAAAGGTAAAGTTTGCAAGATTAGACTTGCAAAAACGTGCAACATGAGCTGACCCAGAACATGAGGGAGGAAAGAAATTTAATTAACACAATTGTTCTTGAGTGCAGTTGAGTACCACAAATTTGTTGACTATTTTTGTTGTACGTTAGTTTTTGGCGGAATATTCCATGTCCCCAGCAATGATTATTCCGACAACCTGACTACCTTGAATATTTGGTACGTTTGTCATATCAAAAATGTGGTTTTACCTGGTTTACCTTTTTTAAGAGATCAAACGCGCCTGCAAAACAACGGTATTCAGCAAAAGTAACCCAAAAGGCCACATTTCGGTAGGAGTCCTGAAGGCCAAACAGATGCACGAATTGTTGATGTTTGTTTCAATTGAAACCGAGAATATCTTGCAAAATATATCAACCAAAGCAAATTAAATCTAAAATTTGATGCCTTTGCAATTTTTACCCTTTTTTTTGCAACACCACCCCAAGGAATTCAACTGTAACCCGGCAAAAGGGTCCTGAGTCAGCAACACACCACCCCACTGTAACACCATGGAATTCCTGAATGACAAGGGTAAACGCTTAAACCGTACATTGGTTTGAACTGTGTTTTCCCCAAACCATTCATATCCAGCAGCGCCAAGGAAGCAGAGCAACGATGCCTGTCCTGCGCCAAAATGCATGATTGAAAACGGTTTTTGCCGCTCGGGCCAATGCATGGTCCAAAATTCATCCATGCAACCAAACCAACCATCCCGTGATTTCAAAATATAAGTGCAAAAAACATGCAAATTGAATTGTTAAAATTTACACGAGCCCTTGACATTGAAATTGCAGTCGCAAATATGGAAAATGACGAAACCGGAAAATCCCAACCATGTGTTTATTCCAACTGCTGTGGTTGGCTGAATTCCCAAAACATGTCATCATGTCATGCGCAGCATGACTGACAAGATTGTGCCAAACAATATCCCAAAAATACAAGCAGTATATTTAGTATGTTTATGGATGCGTGTTTTGATTGTTTTGGTTCCCGAATGCGTAGCAAACGTTCCCGTTTCATTTTGGGGGTTGAAGGTGTTCGCTCGACGTTGCCTAACCGTCCGCAACCAGCTGCAACCGTTCGCAGCCGTTCGCAACCGTTCGCGCGATCCCCGTATGGCCGTGCCTGTGGTAAGTTCTGCAAAAGGGGTCATTTTTGGAGGTTTCGAACGTCGCGCTGCTTCGTTTCGCGTGGCCGGCGCCAGTCTTGCAGTGTTCCAAGTTCCTAACCTCCTCTTGCATACCTTTGAAACCTTGTTCCAAATCAAGCTCTTGCAAACTCTGGTCATCTATGATACTGTCCGGTTTCCAAACCAGGACATCCTGACCTCCAAGACGCATCTTCACAAAATCATGCTCATTGCTTCGATTGAAACAAACAGAGTCAAGAGAACCAGAAAACATCTCAGGAGATGTTGCCGGAGCAAAAGACGCTGGACCTTCAAGCGTGCCCAAACTTGCAACCAACACAGGTTCACCACTACCAACCCAAAACCAGTCAAAATCCATGTTTGTTTGAAGCAACTCCTCAGAATCTTCACGGATCTCTCGTTCCAACTGTTCTCGGTCGGTCTCAGCTTTCCTTTTGAACCTTCTAGTGTACTCAACCTGCGTTTCCGGCTGTCGCCGAGCGGACTCAGGTGTTGGTACCACTTCATCATCGTCGACCTCTTGCACTGGTACCTGAACCTGGGGTACTACTGCAGGGCTCTCCGGGGAGAGTGCAGGTTCAATACGCCTTTCCTTTCTCCGTTGTTCCTCAAACTCAGAAAAACGTTTCTTACATTCCTTATTGTGCCTAATACCAGGTGCTTCCATGCCACTCTCACATGCTGGACATCTACGAGTCGGTTCAAAACGTGATACGTCAGGTGAAGTTCTTTCAGAACTCTCAGGACTACCAATGGCTACATCTGCAGTATCTGCTGGTGACGTAGGAGATGGGGTGACAGACACTCGAGACGGCTCTGCTGAAACTTCCTGTGGAGTCACGACAACATTCGATCTTGCTAACGGCACTGCTGGCGCCAAACGCAACTCACCAGTCTTCTTCTTCACACTGCTGGACTCTGGCAAGACAAGTTTGGGCTGTGAGGGTGCCGGCAAACTCTGACCTTTCAACTTTCGCAACTCTTCAGGAGGTAGCTGACTCATGTCAGCTGGTGCAGTTCCACTGTCATTCACAATTGGGGGTCTACCACCTACAGTCCCATTGTCAAACTGCGTCAAAACACCCTGTCCCGCGTTCAAATCCCATCTCAAAGGTGAAATAGCCCTGATGTTCCTAGCTACAAAACGCATCAACTCAGCTTTCCCATCCACACGAATGAAACCTTGTACAACAGGACCTCGTTCCAATCCCATGTGAATGAAAGTACACTCAACATTCCTTGTTGAAAGTGCATGGTGAATGCTGACGGATTGAATCAGGAATCTCGGCAAGAACCTGAGCACCAAACAAAGTGCAAACTGGTTTGGATAACTTCCTACCTGAAACCATTTCCAATGGACTTCTGTCTGAACCTCTCGATGTTGAAAAATGGCTGTTGCACAAAGCCAAATACGTCAAAACATCAACCAAATTCTCATGTGAAAACGTGACATCCAACCCTTGTGCATTCAGATCAGCTCGCAACACAGAAAAGGATTCTTTTAATTCCCTAACTGTCCTCTCAGCTGCTCCAACTGAACGATGCTGCTGTGGTGCGGCTCGACGAATGGAGAACATGTAGCGACCAGTGGAATTCCCAATGATCTCTCCCACTGCCCTCTCACTGTCGGTGTGGACATCAATGGAGACTGCCTTCGAAGTCAAGCCAAAATGTTGAAGCCATACAACAATCTGTCTCCTGGCTGCTTCGACATCTTCTCCAACCACCACATAGCCAATGCCCCTCGACATCATCTCAGTTAACACGAGGATCTTCACAGAACCTGGAAGTTCGTCTGCAACGATCTCACCTGTTGTATTGAGGAATGCAAAATCAGCCTGAATTGAAACCTCTTTCCTGTCACCTTTGTCTCTTCTGTGCTGAAAAACAGAGCGACCTTTGGCACACTCCAAGCAATTCGGATTGAATGGAATATGTCCCTGTCTCCGGTGACGTGCCAGTTCACTGTCGTCTCCTCCAGACCCAGCTGCAACAGAAAAGTCATGAGTATTACTCACAGTCAAATCAGACCTATACGCACTACTACTACCAACATCTGGATACAAACGAACCCAAGGACAATTGGCAAAATAAGCAACGTCAAGACAATGCATTCCAAGCCTTTCGTGAAACAAATCAAACCTTTTGGACCTTGTGTGAATCTCCATCCCGAATCTGCCAATGAAGTAATTGACAAAATGTTATGCCGCTATGCCGGATGGAACCCACCAAAACATTCAAACGTGCCTTCTTCCAACACCAATCAGCACCTGATGTGCCTGACATGTGCATCTGTACTCCAATCTCGGCAGTGCCTGACATGTTGACTGAGGATCCATTGGCAGCTCGGTAGCCACCTAAACCCTCACTGTCCTGCAGCACTGACCTGAAGGCTGACAAGTTTGACTCAGCCAAAACACTTGTAGATGCACCAGAGTCAAGAAGCCACCAAGAAGCATCGGTGTTGTCAGCAACCTGTGAAAGCAAAGGTCGCAAAAACTTCAAATAAGGTTCAACCTGTTGTTCAACCGAAACTTCACTGTGGTCGTCAAACCAGTCATGTGCACGCACCAAAACGATTTTCATAGGTACGGATGCACACAAGTCTCGGCTGGGGTCATTAACAAAACGTGTTTCCAAGCTGGAACTATCACCAAGTCCAACTTCATCTCCAAACTTCAAACCACAAAACCATGGCTCATGAGTACAGCTGTCGCAACTCCTTGCCAGCACCCAACCCATGTCAGCCACTTCACTTTCCGAAAACTCTGACTCATGAGTACAGCTGTCGCAACTCCTTGCCAGCACAAAACCCATGTCAGCCAGTTCACTTTCTGATACCTCTGGCTCATGAGTACAGCTGTCGCAACCTCTTGCCAGCACACAACCCATGTCAGCCACTTCACTGTCAAACTGTCAAAGTCTTTGCAATCAACCACAAGTCTATCTTCAGTTTCCATGTCAGCAAACACCAGTTCAGCGCCATTGCATCCACACCTGGATCTGCAACTCGGGCTGTCAACTGCGAGATCATGCTCATGCACAAACCTAAGACCTCCAGTGGTTTCACATGTCAAATCATACAACAAAGGATTTATGATCATGCTGCCGACACTGCCAGTCTTTTGGACATCAGACCTATTGTCGTGGCTTGCACTCGGTTCCGCACTTTGGACTGGTTCCTGTTGCCAGGTATATCCATACCCGTCGCAATACCATCCAGAACCATCGTCCCACCAAGTCTGCGAAACTCCCCATTGACCATCACAGCTCTCCGGCCATTGGTCATTCCACCAATAGTCATCATCGTCCCAACTTTCAGCAGTCCAGTCGGTCCAATCCTCATTCCAACTTTCTGAAACTTCATTCAACTTGCCTTTCTTTCCGTTTCCTTTTCCTTTAGAGCCTTTTACGCCTTTGGAACCTTTCTTGTCCCACATGTCCGACTTCACAAGTCCAGATTTGCCTTTCTCACCTCCCTTTCCTTTTCCACTTTCCGGGCGTGAAGGGCAATTGCAACTGATATGTCCTGCTTTCCCACAACGAAAGCATCTGATCTTACTGACGTCCGCGGTGCAAGATCCTGCAGTGTGCCTTCTGCTTCCGCACTTTCCACATCGGCCTTCTACCGTGTCGACGCCGAACTCCTCAAGGGAATGGTACTCTGTATTCCCCTCCAGAGAGTTCAATTTCTTACCACTACCTGTGGATTCAAAATCACTGAATAGTCTCTGTTGCTCTTCCCACCGCATCGCAGCGTTCCGGTACGATTCATAGGTGTCTGCGCTGCTGTGGTGGAGGACATAGTTCTTCACAGCTTCCGGTAGGCTTTTCAACAGAACAACTAGCATGTCTGAATCTGCCAGCTTCAGTCCTGTGGTGTCCACCTGCATAGGGAGAGTTCCTAGCAACCTTGAAAATCTTGCGGATTCATAGTCAATTTTTCTGATAGTATCGCTTACTAAGGAACTCGGCGATGTTTGTGCTGCCGCCAAGACGAATGATCTCCCTGCTATTTGTGTCCTTAGTGAAAGAGCCTCGGATCTTGACCTGATCGAAGGAAGTTTAGAAGTCAAACTTCCGACAATATGGACAGATGAAAAGCAGAGCAGGGCAGAGGGAGAGAGAAGAGAAAGATTAGAAGAGAGAAGATCAGAGAAGAGAAAGAGTCAGAAGAAAGAAGATGCAGATGCGCGAAAAGGTAGGAAAGTCGCGAAACACTGCGTTTTTCCAATGATTTGGGGCTCCGGAGGATCGAAAAGTAGGCTCGCTAAAGCGGCGGGTGCGGAGCCAGCTGGCCAGATGAGAGATGAAAAATTGCACGCCGTTGTGGCGCGAAGCACATTTCCAAGTCAAAATGTCCAAAACACACCAGGTTCGGACCACTTTTGGAAGTTGAGATGTCGAAAAAGTGCACGCCGTTGTGGCGCGAAGCACGTTTCCAAGTCAAAATGTCCAAAACACACCAGGTTCGGACCACTTTTGGAAGTTGAGATGTCG